GAAATATGTATCATGCATCTGTTTATGTTGCATGATGCATTAAGTGAAATTATATGTTTATTGTTGTTTAATATTAGTTTTCGTTTTTGTTTAATATTAGAGATCGTTTGTTGTTTATATATATGCGAATTGTGGTCTTCAAATCTCTCCTGGGGGTTTCAAAGTGCTGGATTCCAGAATGTTCACCCGAAAAAAACAGTTGTTTGTATGATATTTCCTAATCTAGATGTTGGTTTTAGTTTTCACAAGGAATATGCAGCTGCAGTGGGGTTTACTGTTCGTCATCATACATCAAAGAAGGACATAGATGGTCACATAGTGATGAAATATATTATATGTAGTAGAACTGGTTTTAAGAATAATGCATGTCATGTTTTAGATACAACAGTTGCTGGTTCTGAAGATTGCTCGAAAACTAAAAAACAAGTATCTAATAGTATTGAAGTTGCTGGTTCTGAAGATTGCTCGAAAAATAGGAAACAAGTATCTAATAGGATTGAAGTTGCTGGTTGTGAAGATTGCTCCACAAATAGGAAACAAGTATCTAATAGGACTGAAGTTGCTGGTTGTGAAGATTGCTCCACAAATAGGAAACAAGTATATAATAGGATTGGATGTAAAGCCATGTACACATAAAACATCATGCCTTTGCTCCTCACTTCAGGTCTCTGCACTTCATCACACTGCATATGCATCCTGCTTCAAACCTGTTTCACCAAAGGCCCATCTGCTCCACATTTAATGACAGCATTTCAAATTACATTTATAGAATATCGTCAAATGCATCTTAAATGTAGAACAGTGCAAGTGTGTAACCTTTTGACTTTTTCCTCATCTCTTTTTTCTTTTTGTTCTGTAGCATCTTACTATTTGATGCACCTTCTTGTTTTCTTTTTCCTCCAAACACATGTTGCTCTTCTACATTTTCTATTACATAGATGTACATGTCAGGACTTAGCTTTTCTCGTCACATTAACAATTACTAAATACAAGTATACAAACTACCATTTCTTTCCATCAATGCTTATTGCAACTACAATTGTTGCACCAAACTTCTTTCACAGAAAATAGACACACACACATTGTTTAATGCTTTCATAAGGATGCATTGCAATTACATTATACTTGCATCTTTTAAGCAATCTTTATGCATATATCATCCTCACTAACACAAGTGCATATTTTGGGTGTAAATGCATCTGCTATCATACAATCATGCATCATGTACCTTACAAAAGTACTTCATGAAAGACCGAACACTTCAATAAGTTCAATTTATTAAAACTTCCATCACAAAAACAACTAAAATTAATTCAAAAACCTGTACCTATTAGCTTTAACTACTGCATCTTATACCTAATAGTCATGCATCTACTTTCCTCCCTAGAACAACTTCATCTTACAGGTACACTTGTTGCTCTTCTGCATTTTCTATTACGTAGATGTACATGTCGGGGTTTAGCTTTTCTCATCATATTAACAATTACTAAAAATTCAAACTACCATTTCTTTCCACCAATGCTTATTGCAACTACAACTGTCGTACCAAACTTCTTTCACAGAAACATGTTAAATGTACATTCATGTATAGTAGGCAAAAAAATATAAACTCACACACATTCATTAATGCTTTCATCATGATGTATTGCAATTACATTATACTTGCATCTTTTAAGCAATCTGTATGCATATACCATCCTCACTAACACAAGTGCATATTTTGGGTGTAAATGCATCTGCTATCATACAATCATGCATCATGTACCTTACAAATGTACTTCATGAAAGACCAGACACTTCAACATAAGTTAAATTCATTAAAACTTCCATCACAAAAACAAATAAAATTAATTCAAAAACCTGCATCTATTAGCTTTAACTACTGCATCTTATACCTAATAGTCATGCATCTACTTTCCTCCCTAGAAACAACTTCATCCTACAGGTACACTTGTTGCTCTTCTGCATTTTCTATTACATAGATGTATATGTCAGGGTTTAACTTTTCTCATAACATTAACAATTACTAAAAATTCAAACCACCATTTCTCTTGCCACCAATGCTTATTGCAACTACAACTGCTACACCAAAAAATACAAATTGAATTACACACTCTATTGCATCTTTCTTCACAAATGCTTGCACCAAATAAGCATCAACATTGCATAGCACTCTTAAGCACACACATGCACTTTGTCAAGTTTGAAACGAATTTCATCGGTCACCATCCTCAAGCTTCCTGCGATTTTCCCTCTTCGTATAATTTTCTTCTAGAAAAGTCATTGTTTATACTAATATTGGGCCTTGATTCTTCACAAGAAGTTTTATTCTAAAAGCCTTGCCCAAGCCTACAAGTATCTTTACGATCAACTTCCACTAAGAATGAATTCTACATCTTACCTTTTTTGGATTCCTTATGCTTGGACGATTAATTACATCATGAGATGGTTAGCGTAGAATCAGGGATTGTGTAATTTACTATTTCCTAATATAAGAAGCGAGGCTTGGAATTTATTTTACAATTTTAATGTAGTAACACTGGGAATGACCGATTCGGCGCAGTGGGAATTTATTATAGGATTTTGTGCATCACAGCCTACATCTAATACTATACACCGCAGATAGATCACGCTCCATTTGTTGCAAACGAATAGCCCATATTAGTTTGTAGTTTGCACCGGAAGAGGAGTTTGTATGTGATCTTCCCCCAGTCCCCCTACACACACACACACACACACACACACACACACACACACACACATATATATATATATATATATATATATATTAATGTTCTTGTTCGGCTAGGCCGGACAAGATGCTCGTCCGTCCACCTCAATTTGAGGTGGTTCCCGATGATATTTTTTGTTGAAATTTTTTGTGTATGTGCTTCATCAAGTCTAGTTCATTCATATCAAATTTGAGCAAAAAACATTCAATCAGGAAGGGCGTCAAATGATTTTTGAAAGATAACTGCTCTTTATATGTATATTCCAGACCTTTCAAAAATCATTTGACGATCTTCCCGATTGAATATTTCTCTAAATTTGGTATGGATGAAATAGACTTGATAAGGAACATACAAAACAAATTTCAGCAAAAAATACGACCGGAACCCACCTCAAACTGAGGTGACTGGACCACCCTCCTGTCCGGCCAGGTCAAACAGGAATACTACTCTATATATATATATTGACATACTAAATCTTCATAATTTTCTTTAGTATGTATTTGCATATTATAAAAGTCAAATATCATTAAACATTAGCGAGTTCAATAAGTTAAACTGAGACTATCAATTTCAGACATTAATAATAAGTTCATGAATAACAATAACTACAAGTGGGTACTATTGTATTGGGTGCAGGGTAGACTCCATGATTTTAATTAATGGAGTAGTCAAATTATGAGTTCAAGATTAAATTTTCAAAATGTTTTTAAATGCTTACATTTAGACCGTTCTAATAGCATATCCTCAAGTTGTTTAGGAATTTTATCAATCCGAGACCTCAAAAATAGACGAACTATCAATTCAGGACCTAAAAGGTAAAATGTATCAGTATAGGACCTGAACGATGGAAAACTATCAATCTAGGACCGAATGATTGAAAACTATCAATTTAGGACCTAGTTTTTTATAAATTTTATTATTATTTTTGTTTTAAAAAAATTAAATAATATTTAGTTTTAATAAACTAATAAACTTTTGTGAAGAAACCTATGAAATGTTAGATCCTAGATTGATAATTTTTCATCTGTCGGGTCCTATATTGATACATTTCATTTTTTAGGTCCCGAATTGATAATTCGTCTATCTTTCAGGTCCCGGATTGATAAAATTCCTTTTGTGTATTAACAACCGTAGAAGCCTCCCTCTAAAAAGTGAGCTTAAACACAAATTTCCAATAATATGACTATCTATTACACACTAGTGATATGCAGTGATTGGGGTACTCCCCCTGCAATGACTTGCAATGTTACTGACTACCACCACTATTGACCACCCCGTCTAGTGACTGTCGTCGTTGCGCCGATTAGTGACAGTCGCCACACCCAATGACTGCCGCCGTGGCGCCGTTGCCTGACTGACTGTTGCCCCCCGTCCAGTGACTGCCGTCGCCGCCCCTTCCAGTGACTGTCGTTGTCACCCCATCCGGTGGCTGTCTTCACTGCCCCATCCAATGACTTTGTGTCCTCCCCTATCTGCGATAGCCGCCCCCACCCCAACCAGTGACTGCCGCACCAGCCATCGCCATCGCCCCACCCTTTCCCATCACACTAATCACTGTCCACTAGCCCCACCCTGTCACTGCCCACCACAGTGACACCGCCACCACTACAATGACAGCCGACGGCGCCAGAGTTGTTTAATGATCGTCGCCGCACCGCTTCATCGGGTGGATTACAGCCCAACCCTCTCCCCATGCACCACCAGTCACAATCAGATTTTTTTATCTCCCAGCCTCCTGCACAATCGTGTCCTCCACCCCTGCCACTACCCCACCCTCACCACCACCCTCGTAAGAGCAACTTCAACAAGCACCAAATCTCACACCAAAATGGTGGATTTGCCAAAAAAATGCTCCAACGGCCACACCAAATCCCACACCATTACACCATTTTGGGGAGAGGGGTGGATTTTACGCCATATATGGCGTACACCAAATCCCACACCATCTACTTTTTTTAATTTTTTTTTATTTCAAAAGTGACCCAAAGTTTTGATTGTTATAATTTTGACCCATTTTTAAAACAGTAAATTAGGATATTTTTTACTATGACTGAAATTTGTTGGTCTGCTCTGGTCTGGTATGATTTGGTCTGGTCTGGTCTGAACTGATGTGGTCAGGTCTGATTTCTTTGTATTTTATAACTACCCAAGTTTGGTCTAATCCGGTCTGATCTGATCTGAGACAAATTGTAGTCCAAATAAAAACATCCTTACAGAACAAGTAATTAAAATTATTAATTTGATAGAAAATAAAAAAAATATAATAAAATTTAAATCACACAATTTTATAAATAAAGTTTCAAATCCAAACAACATAATAACAGAATACAAATGATACTTAAGAAAATTACATAATTAAAATTACAACTAATAACACCATTATAATTAAAATTAAAACATAATTAAAAACATACTAATTTAGAAATTAGTAGTCATTCAACCCGCTTCCAGACCCTCCAAGATCATCAAATAGATTCTCAAATCCAGTTGATGATCCTCTTTCTTGAGATTTTTTTTTTGTAAAATTCTTGATCTTTCTGCAATGATATACGCTCGCGTTTGTGGATCGTGAATAGAATTGAAATCCATGAACATAATTTTATCTTCCCTTTTCTGTTCTTTGTATGCCATATTTTGTCGCTAGATTTGCAATTGTTCCTGTCGATCTAACGACGATTTCTTAAACATCTCTATAAGTTGATCATTGTCGCTCTTAACTGACTCAAGCAAAACAATAGTGTCATCATTTTTCATCTTCAATTTGGCTTTTTTTACCCCTATTGGTCATTTTGAAAAATCTGACACAGAATCAGTATCAACTTCTTTGTTGAACGAAGATGACAATCCAGTTGATAAGGAAATTGGAGATGGTGGATGAGAGTCTGATTGGGAAGAGTCATAATCAACTTGCCTTTTTTTGAAGCAACATGTCTTGAAGTTGACACATTATCTTTAAATTTTTCAAATTTTTTAATCATATCCCAAACATGGTCAAATTTAAAACCTTTAGAATAGTTTGGATCTTGCATAAATAAAACTATAGCACGATCGAGCTGCAAATCATAAAAATAAATTTGTATTACATTAAAGTAAATATATTATTGAAAATTAAAATTATATTATACTTACAATATCTTTTTTGGAAGCACCGCTTGGATTTAAATTCTCCACCTTCTTCACACACCCATTTAGCTTCCGTGTTTGAGTACTTATTGTATCCATTCTTGAATGCAGTGAACGTGTATTACGTTGTTCGTGATTTTGTTGACGTTGATCATTGTACTTAGCCTCAACTCTTGACCAAAAATCATTTGCAGATTGATATATGCAGATGATTGGATCTTGAGTTATGTCTAAATACACTTGACACAATAATGCGTCAACCGGGAAGACAGTCAAATGAAATTTTGAAGATAATCGTGCAGTTAAACAGCGCGGTACATTGCAGAAAATCATTTTACTATCTTCTCGCTTGAATTTTTATCTGAAATTTAGTATGGGCAAACTAGACCTAATTAAGAAGATGCTCAAAAAAATTCATCAAAAATCATACTTAGGGAATCATTACACTACCCGTTGGATGGATTTCCTTTTTTTTTTCACAACCATCATATTCTTATCTTTTGAGATAAGCGTACTTGTCACGCACTACTAACAATGTCAGGCACAAGTTGATAGGGAATCATTACATTACCCGTTGGATGGATTTCCTTTTCTTCACAAACATTAGATCTTATCCTTTCCTTAGCCGACATAACCAGATTCACGACAAAGACGCTCATATTGAGCTCCACAATGCTTTATTTGATCATTTGTGGGAACAATTCTCAAATTCCGATAACTAAACTAAGAATATTTATTTAATGTATTGCTTTAAGTTTAAGTAGTACTTTATTAGTGACGTACAAATTATTATAATATTATTGTAATATTTAATTTTATGTGGTTTTAGCTTGTATTTTTGCAATATTGATTATTGTATTTTAATTAGTGAAATGCGTGAAAATACATATTAAAATGGTGTATTTTAGTTAGTATGTGTGAAATAATGTGTGAAATTTCAAAATATTAAACGAGGGGCTAATGTATAAATATATGATAATTAGATACTTAAATAGAAGAATGGTAAAAAGTTAGTAAAAAGAATAAAAAAGGGAATATTCCTTTTTGGTGATGAAAATGATGTAAAATGTTGGAAATAAAATACTGTGTGATGTGATGTTTACGCCATTTTAGTGTACAAAATGGTGTAAACCATTGGAGATGGCCTAAGATCCACACCGTCTAGCTGTGCTAAGAAGACAATCTGGGGGATCTAGAACTTCATTACCGATTAGACCTATCTACGGACAAAATAAACAAAGAAGAGGAAGATGATATGGGAGGGACCGGAAGAGTGAGCTGAGGCGAGCAGAGACAGGGTCGAAGAGGGGCAACAGAGTTGCTGACGTCCTCGGAAAACCCTTGTCAGAGTCGCACATCACCATAGTCCAATTTGGGGTTGCTGTCGTTGGGCATCATCATCGGAGGCTCGCCATTGTCGCTCGAGCATCTGAATCTCCGTTTGGGCTTCACGGTGAGATAGAGGCGTATGGGCGATGAGGAAGGCTGTTACGATCCAGGCCACTCTACGACAATGGAGAAAGAGTAGTGAGAATACGTAGAGTATATTTGAGAGAGAGAGAGAGAGAGAGAAAATAAGAGAAGAGGGGAAATGCACTTATTAGCTCAAACGTATCATTCATGTGTACAAGCTAGGATTTATATAGCAGCTACCTAACCTGCCCGTCAAGTAACTGCTATCAGCCGACTAACTAACCTCCAACTTATTCATAAACGAACAGGACTAACTAACACATCTAAATCTCATATCAATACTCCCCCCTTTTAACTGACTTGTCCTCAAGCCAGAGTATTATAAAACTCCGGAAAAGCCTGCTGAATAAAACCAGCCCACTCCCATATTGCCCTTTCATGCTCTTGACCCTCCCACTGAATCAACCACTTCACTCTTGCCTCATTCCCATGCTTGAACATCTGTCTTCCCAATATAGCCTTAGGTTGCACCTTGTCCCCTGCAGATACCCCTTGCAGCCACTGAGGAATATGTGGCTTAGAAGGTAAAGCTCCCCTAAACTCTTTTAGTAAAGAGACATGGAAGGTGTGATGTATTTTAGCTTCTACTGGCAGCCTCAGCTTATATACAACTTTTCTCACCTTCTGCTCAACTTGAAAAGGGCCATAATACTTGGGCGCTAGCTTCTCATTAGAAGAAGCCTCTGCTGACACCTTCTCTAATATCTTCTGAATGTTATCACCTTTTGCATAGCTCTGTCTGATCAACACTAGGAGATTAGAATCAACTGTAGATAAAGCCAAGCATAGTAGTTCAGCTCCATTAACTCGAGACAAAGCATCTGCCACTTTATTCTCTGTTCCACTCTTGTACTGTATTTCATAAGTGAACCCCATCAATTTTGAAAGTTAAAACTGTTGAAAGGGAGTGGAAATCTTCTGTTCTAGAAGCCATTTCAGACTCTTCTAATAAGTCTTGATGATGAAAGTTTGGCCCACCAGATACTGCTCCCACTTTTGTTCAGCAAAAACCACTGCCAAAAGCTCTTTCTCATAAACTGAGAGTTGCTGTCATTTTGGTCCAAGGGCTCTGCTTATATAGGCTAAAGAGTGCCCTTCCTGCATTAGTACTGCTCCAATTCCCCTTTGTGAAGCATCTGTTTCAACCACAAAAACCTTATTAAAATTGGGAAAACAAGCACTGGAGCATATGATAATGCCTCCTTCACCCTCTGGAATGCTTCAGTAGCCCCCTGATCCCATTTAAAAGCATCCTTCTTCAATAGATTTGTTAAGGGCTTTGCCATCTCAGCATATCCCTTGATAAACCTTCTGTAGTACCCTGCCATCCCTAAAAAACTCCTCAACTGCTTGACTGTTTGTAACGCCCGTACTTTTTATCGACTTCTTATGTGCTAATTAATTATATATGATCATGTTTTAACTTATCGTTTGAATGTTATATATGTGAAGTATATGGATATCATGTGATTATGAGCTTTTTGATAATGATATTTGAATTTACATGCTTGTATTATGTTTGAACGTGACAGGTGACGGTATTCAATGAGCAACAAAACTATACCGTAATAATCATTTTATTTCAAAAGGAATAATATATCAAGTTAGTTGTCATGTTAGATAGTATTCAGGTGTTTAAAATGTAGTTAAAATGTCACCGAGGATCAAGGATGGGATCAGCCAACAATCGGGGTCGGTTTAGGGTGAAAAAGGACATTTTCAGCGACCGGGGAAGCCCAAACCGGTGTCGGTTGGACCCAGACCGGCGCCGGTCCAAAACAGAACTTAAGGGCGGTGGAAATGCAGGGCAACCGGCGCTGGTTGGTCCATGACCAGCGCCGGTCGGGGCGATTTTTGCTCAGGTCGGTGTACGGCGTATTTAAATGGGAAAAATCCATTTTTCCCCAAAACGAAGCCCAGCTCGACCCCCTCTCTACAAACTCATTTCCAAACCCTACCTAGACTGATTCAAGCTCAAACTAAGTCTATTATTCATCAAGAATCATCACTTGGTAAGATTTTACATAGGCTTGGACTCGGGTCGGGCCACCCGGCCCGTGGACCGGCCCGGCCTGCTACTGTGCGGGACCGGGACCGGCCCGGTTCTCGGGACCGGGATCGGCCCGGTTCTCGGGTCCGGGTCCGGGTCGGGCCTAGGCCTGGGTGGTAGGGCGGGTCCGGGCTCGGGTCTCAATTTTGGTGAACCGGCTCGGGCCAAATTGATTTTTTTTTCATTTTTTTCATTTTTGGGGTTCCACCCGGGTTGGGCTTGATGGGTAGGATGGGTTTGGGGGGGTTTGGGAGGGTAGGGGGTGAGGGGTGGTGGGTTAGGAAAGCAAAAAAAAAAAAAAAAACCAAACCAGAGGCCCGGACCCGGCCCGGACCCGGTGGCTACCCGGGCCGGTCCGGGGTCCACCATTCTTGAACCGCCGGCCCGCCCGGGCCTAGGCCCGACCCGGACCCGGCCCGGACCCGAGTCCACCCCTAATTTTACACCTTACATGAAGTAATTTTTCCATATTTTGTTTTATGGTTCAGGTTTTTGGTTTAAGCTAGGGTTGAGTGAATTTTGGGTTGATTCTAAGTATTAATGGATGTTATGGATGATAGGAGTGTTGTAGAGGGGTTGTTTATCCTTGGTTTAACAAGTTTTTAAATCTAATCTTGAATAACTAGCTATATCAAAACTATGTCAATTTGATGAAAGAATTTGGGGAATCTTCTTAATATGTATAGGCTGATTTTAAGTAGATGTGTAGAAATCTTGATAGTATGGTTATTGGTTAGTTGTTGTTGACTCTTGAGTATTGATGGATTATAGGGGTATCCAAACTATAATAAAATGGAGAGATTTGAGCTAATGTGAGGAAGAAGATGAATGAATAGTAATGTGTATTAGAGTTGTGATCTAGGGTTTACAAGCTCCAAATGGAGTATAAATAGAGAAATAATGGGTCGGACCGCTAATATGGCCCGACAAGCCCAACTACATAAAAGGCTAATCTAGTACATACAAATGATATATGAACTCTACAATAATACAAATGATATAAATGACGTCCGATAAGCGTGTGTGGGCCGCTGTCCGGGCCCAATAGCCGTGAGACCCGGGGGTCCGAGTCTATATACTCCATCAGGAGTCCCCCACTCTCTAAGTCGAGAGTACTCGAGGCGAAAGGGAGTAGAACTGTGTGCTGATCTATCGTCTGATGAGTAAACTTCATGGAAATTGATTCCGAAATAATGTCATTTTTGTAGTATATACTCCAAAATGTTAGCATTATTCCTTTGAACTGAAATATAACTGTAGTATAACATCAAAATGATGACATTTTATGACACAAATATTACGGCGATGACAATACTACCCCTTTGAAAGTATACATATCCCATGCTTTTCAATATGAAAGTTTCATCTGGACAACTAATGTTACTTTTTAGCACTACCCTTTGTGAAGATGATAATTTTACTTCTTTATTACTTTTGAGTTTCTCATTTTATGATTTTCTTTTCACTTCTTATATACTGAATTTAAATTTACCATTATTTTCAACATGAAAATGTCATGTTATTTCTATCAAGTTGGAAAGAACGTCATTAGGATGACATTTCAATTGTAAAATGACATTTTTTTTCTAGTAGTTTGTTCAAATCTACAATGGTTGCTCGAGTGGGGCAATTACGACGCTAGAGGGCGCACTGTTTACAAATGTTGCATGATGATGTTGATGAGGTGGCTGTGATGCCGAATGTGGCGACAACAACGCTTGTCGAGTTGTCGAATGAGATGTCCATTAGCGGCGGCATCGCCAATGGTGGCGGGGGCCATGAGAGTTGGTGGTAGTGGTACAGAGGTTGGCAACAGTCCCGTGGCAGAGGACTGCGCTAGCATGTCTTATCAGCCTTTCTCATATTGAGTATTATGTGGTTGTTACTTTGTGTTTATACTCTGCATTGTCAATAAATAAGTTAAATTTCATTGAGGATGGCATTGTCTAACCTATGTCTTAATATCATATAGAACATTGAAGTCCTACTTTTGCACATTCAACATTCTTTACTCATACTTAATAAATTATGTATACCAAAATATACCTAAAATAGACATTTACCATACCATATCAAATTCTAACAAACTGAAACGGATGAGATAATTTAAATCCATGTGCTTTAATTTGTCCAGTTGCTTACATCTTGGGGCATCTTCAATAGGAGGATGGATTGTAGAAAGATCCATCTTATCTAGCATAGGAGAAAGATAGAGATAAAATAATTATTTTAATTTAATATATAAAAAATTAAGTATAAGAAAAAATAAGAAGAGTGATATAGATATAAAATGAAGAACTACGTTTACGATAAGGTCCATATATGGACCTGACATGAGATTCGAGAATCAAAATTAGAATAAAAGTGAATTAAAGTGATATTACTTCCATCCCATTAGCGAAGTTTTTTTGGAGACCATCGCTATATGATGAGTTTGAGGAGTGTGTACAAAATAATCTAGAGGAGCAATAGATTGTTAGGTTGATATATTGGTTGTTTGGGTGAAGTGGATTTAGGTATTTACGGAGTAATAATGTATAAGTACTCATAGAGCCTGTTTGGTAACACTATTTTTCGGCTTATTAGGCTTATCAACCAACTTTTTCATCAAACAAGTAACTTTTGCTTTCGCGCGCTGAATTGTGTAATAAGCAGAAAAAGTAAGGTTGAGGTTACTTTTCTGACTGTATTGGTTGAAGTTACTGTAGATGTCAATTTTAGATATTTTACGTATAATTTTTTCTTTATTTTATTCATAAAATATATTTAAATAGGCCGGGCTTGGCTATTGAGTCCAATTTATTTACCTGATAATAAATATTGAGTAAGTCATAAGTTTAAAAATCATTTAGTTGTTAATTTTTTACAATTCTAATAAATTATTTAAAATTTCGGAGAATCAATTTGGTTTTATGCCTGGACGCTCAACAACTGAGGTCATTCACCTTCTTAGACAAGTTATGAAGAAGTATAGAGACACTAAAAAGGATCTGCATTTGGTGGTCATTGGTTTAGAAAAGTCATATGATAGGGTACCACGAGAAGTCCTGTGGTAGGCCTTAACTAGAAAAGGCATATCACGTAAGTATATCAGTATCATCATGGATATGTATGATGCTTGTACTACAAGTGTCCGCACTAGTGTAGGGAGGACCGCAGAGTTCCCTATTACAATCGGAGTGCACCAAGGATCTGCTCTGAGTCATTTCTTATTTGCCATAGTCATGGATGAACTTACGAAGTCAATCCAAGAAGATATATCGTGGTGCATGATGTTTGCCGACGATATTGTATTGATTGATGAGACACAATCCAGTGTTAAAGCAAAGTTAGAAGTATGGCGACAAACATTGGAGACCAAGGGCTTCAGACTGAGCCGAAGCAAGACTGAGTATATGGAGTGCAAGTTTGGTGGAGGTAGAAGTAGTAACAACAGTGAAATTACTCTTGATGGTAAGGAGACACCAGTGTGTGATATGTTTTGTTACTTGGGTTGCATAATTCAGAAGGATGGTGAATTGGATGGAGATGTATGCCATAGAATCAGAGCTGGGTCGATGAAATGGAAGAGTGCTTCAGGATTTCTATGCGATCGAGGTATGCCGACTAGATTGAAGGGTAAATTTTATCGAACAACAATTAGGCCTACTTTAATGTATGGCGTAGAGTCTTGGGCGGTGAAGCAATGCCACATTCAAAAGATGAGTGTGGCAGATATGCGTATGTTGCGTTGGATGTGTGGACATACCAGAAAAGACCGTTTGAGGAATGAGATAATTAGACAAAAGGTGGGAGTAACACCTATAGAGGATAAGATGCAGGAGTCTCGTTTACGATGATTTGGGCATGTGCGTAGAAGACCGAGTGATGCACCTGTTAGACGACTTGAGGGGTGGGGAGAAGAGGCAGAGAAGAGAGGGAGAGGAAGACCCAAACAAACTTTGATTAGAGGAATCAGAACTGATATGCGTCTTCTTGGGTTGGATGAGAGTATGACTTTGGAGAGAGCAAAGTGGAGGACGCACATCCGTGTGGACGATTGATGTCTTTTCTACCTTTCCTCTCCTTTTTATTTTATCGTTTATCTTCTTTATCTTTGTATATTCTATTGTTATTTTTACATTCTCTTTCTATGTCCTTTTTTATCTTTTATCTTTCTTATATTATTGTGTTATTGTTATGTTATATTTATTTATCTTTATTTTATTCGTTTTATCTTACTTTATGTCTTCTTCCCTTTATTGTCCGTCTTCTCTGTTTGGCATCAATATCATTGATCGATTCATGTTAGCCGACCCCAAATTCTTTTGGGATTAAGATTTGGATGTTGTTGTTGTATTTATTTTAAAAGTTTCGTATTTAATGTTATAAGAAGTATGGATGAGTTAATTTTGTTTTCAGTTTGACAATTTGATTTTATTTGAATTTATATGCAACAATATCCTTCAAATTTTTAAGAAGACAATTTTCTTTAATGACCTCTTATATGATGACTATAAATAAAAGCTAACGTCAATCTTCGATGAATGGTGGATTTTTATTTGAAAAACATGTGTACACGCATGTTCAACTTTTTCTTACAATGTAGAAAATAATAAATTGTAAGAGTTTGAAAATATTGATTTGCGATGATCATGGCAAACAAATAGACCATACTATTAATGTTGTTTATAAGAAATTGAAGGGTTTCAAAATGAGTAAACTGCAGGAACCTTATTGCAATATTTATTTATTTCTTCATATTTCAAATCACATCTCGTGCCAATTATGAGTTGTAACTATTTTTCTCTTTAATTAAATTTTTGTGTGTATTACATTTGTGCATGCATTCATTCATACACTAACTAATAATTTTAACAAATAATATGCTATAACTATTGATTAATTTATGTTTCGTGCATCGCACGAGGTGAGAATCTTGTAGAAATATTGTAGAAAATGATAAGGTCCATGATAAGGTCCATATATGGACCCGACGTGAGATTCCAGAATCAAAATTAGAATAAAAATGAGTTAAAAATGGTATTACTTCCATCTCAATGACAACTGCCAAGTTAAAATTAGGTATGAAATAAGCAAGCTGATAAATCTTTTAAAGTAAGAGAAAAAGATAAAATTTGTTAGGCAAATAAGAACATGAGTTGAGTTGAGAAAAATTGATAAAATCCAGACGAGGCATAAGGGGTACTCCATATGTTTTGCTATGATCGTATCATTTTTCCTTTTGGTTCTGTCTCACTAAGAATGTATCATACTAAATTTGATAAAGTTTTGCATGGTTATAAATCACTGTTACGTTATATTTATTTTATCAATTCAATATTAATCACATAAAACAATTTTTTATTAATAAGGAATTTTATCAATTCAGGACTCGAAAGATAGATTAATTATCAATTCAGGATCCGAAAGATGAAACGTATCAGTATAGGACCCGAATGATGGAAAACTATCAATTTAGGACCTAACGTTTCATAGGTTTTGATTTATTTAATTTTTTATTAATTCCATTACTAATTTTTGATAAACTTTTCTTCACAAAAGTTTATTAGTTTAATAAAACGAAATAATATTTATAATTTTTTAATAAAAAAATTTATGACAACTTAGGTCCTAGATTAATAGTTTTCAATCATTCAGGTCCTAAATTGACAGTTTTTCATCAATCAGGTCCTATATCGATGCATTTTATCTTTGAGGTCCCGAATTGATAATTAATCTATCTTTCGGGTCCTGAATTGATAAAATTCCTATTAATAAACGTGTTATCTCCTCAGATTTTTTTAAAAAGATGACATCGCATCCCTGAGAGCCACCAGAACCGGCTGAACAGTTATCTGGAAGGATGTAAATTGAGATTTGATCTCACTCCGATGGGAAGATAGTGAAGTTCCACCCAAGTCATTGCTTGGAGTTGAATCCGAGACTTTTACTATATTAGGTTTTGACACATAAGAGGAAATAGGGGAAATAGTATGAGTAATGCATAGTGTAGAAAAAGTATGAAAAAATGTGAAAAAGTAGAAAATAGAAGATAAAAATAGAAAAAATAAAAGTAATTGAATATTTAATAGCAAACTTTTAAATATGGAAGAAATATATTCTTACCTATAAAAAGAGTGTGCAAGAGGTTCCCAGCAAATGGGTACGGAGGCTCCAGGAGATGTCTATATTCATGTCACCCACTTGGCGGATAGCCCCAGTTCCATCTCTGGGGTTTTACAGTCACCGCCTGTCCCCTTTCATCGCAAAAAGTTCAGCATCTGTAAGAACGGCTCTTTGTATCACGGGGAACGCCAGTACCTCTTCCTCATCAATGGAGACTAATCCCAAACGCAAGCTGCCCGTGTTGCTCTTTGACGTCATGGACACAATTGTTCGCGACCCATTTTATCACGATGTCCCCGCCTTCTTCCGGTACTTTACTCCAATCCTTCACCCGACTTCTCCCGTTTTAACTCCTATCAAAACTAACAAAGGTTTATAGGCCGCTTGGGTCCCAAAATTCATCAACAGAGGAAAGTATTGAAGAAATTGGAAAATACAAAACTGCAAGTGAATTAAAAGATCGCCTGGAGGTTATTAAAAAGAAATTGGGTGTAATAAAGGCTCGTAAAAAAGTATACTAAAAATAGCAGAAATGGTCTAGTAGCTTCGGACTGAAATGTAATTACAGCCCCTTACTTATTTTGATTGTTATTCAATTCAGCTGGTGAAACAAAAATTGCGTGTTTGATTAAAAAATTAGCAGATTAGGCTGATAACAAAAAATGGTTACAGAACGGGCTCTGATTTCTCATATGCTTTTATAGTTATATATAACCTACGGTTTTCAATTCAGAATGACCATGGAGGAATTGCTAGAAAGCAAGCATCCAACTGCATGGATTGAGTTTGAAAAGGGGAAGATAAGTGAGGTGTGTACAATTGTTATGGAATTTTCACTTCATTTATTTAATGCTAACTCCGATATCATATGTGATATGTCATGTTAGTCCACCCAGGGGCGGATCTGGCATAGGGCCAGGGAGGGCCTAGGCCCCACCTCAAAAAAAAAAAAAATTACTAGTATATATATATTATATATGTACTGGGAAGAAATGGTATAATTAGAATAAGCGTCCTATTGTAAACAAAAGTTACATTGGTGTGATGGTAGAGGTGTGATTGACAGTGTAGAGGTTATGTGTTCGATTCCTAACTGGAGCAACATTTTTTTTGTATTTTCCATCCAAGTTCAGGAACATGCTATCTTACACAAATCAAGTCTGAATTATAACTTTTGAATACTAGGATGCAAAAATTAAGTAGTCCAACTAATTGGGCTTTATTAGTCTGAAAAGCCAATTAGTTCAATTGATTGAGCTTTTTGAATATTGTCCTAAAAATTAATTAGTTTAATTCATTGGGCTTTTGAATATTGACCGAAAAATTAATTAGTTGAATACATTGGATTTCGTAGGTGAAAATAAGTTTTCTTTACATAGAGTATAGATTTTAGAGTAAAAAAATCGATTTATCTTGTTTCCGAGAAACTAACCTAAAAATTGGCACTAAACATTTGGGTAACTGATAAAACTTCGGTTCGATATCTATGACTTTTAAGATAATTATATTGTCGGTTCTGTAATATTCAATTTATTCTTTGACTTTTCTATAATTTACATTTTGACTTCTAAGATATTATTATACTATACTACATTTTGACATTTTTTATAATATACGTTATTTAATTAAATTTTAGCCCCACCTGAACGTAGATGCTAGATCCGCCCCTGAGCCCACCCTAAACTCTTTTAGGAATAAAGCTTGGATGCCGTTGTTGTTGTGTAGTTGTATTTCCTTACTGCTAATTGCATCTTAGTTGCAGACATGCCAAAGAGAGAGAGAGATCAGTTGTTGCCCGTAAGGCTGTAATTATTCCCCAGAAATGCTTTATGAATAATCTTGGAGTCTTGGTTTAAAACTCTATCTTGGAATATTTTCATATTTGTTTAATACACTTAGCTCATGTTCTTGTTCTTTTTATTAAAGAGCCTTCTACACTGCCTAATTAAATTTGTATGATAGCTTAATAAGCGTTAAACACCCATCAAGTTTTTTAAGTACAGTTCGACTCATTTTAGTCCTTAGTTTGATAGCAGAGTCAGTCTGACCCATAGTCACAAATCCATGAGTGGGTCTCTTATGAAAAAACAGCCCTGCTACTTGTACCCACTCCTTATACCTACCCTTATACCCACCCTTGTGAGAGGCTATAAGGGTATAAGGGAGTGGGTACAAAGTACAAACAAATTTTTTCATGAAAAAAATTGCACTGTAACAGTTTTGTCTGCCTGTGACGTGTACAATGAGGGTTTTAAAGACTTTTTTACTTTGCTACATTTGAATGAATGTACCTTTTTATGAAATTTCCCAAAAAGGAGTAAAAACAAAGTGATTTCTCTAAATATGAGTACTATGTTTTTCCTTAAATAGAAGTGAAGTACTGCAATCATGAAATTATATTGTTCTTAAATAGGAGCAAAGTATTGTCATTCTGAAATCATATTGTCATATTATGACATTATCAAGATGGCAATACTTGTTCTTATATAGGAAAAATCATTGTGCTGCTATTTAGGAAAAATACCTTGTTTTTACTCCTATTTAAGGCAATTTCTTTTTCAAGTGTTGGACAATCATCACTTATTGAGAGTTCTTTTAGGGTAGAGTTAGATCCAACCATATTCCAAATAGTCTTGACATTAGGCTTACGTGCTGTCTTCCCTGTTGTCTTTAAATTACAATATTCTCCACCTTAGTTTAGATACTATATTTGGTGATATGTCAATGTATTGAAGACTTGAAGTCGGTACTCTGTAGTTTCTTTTCACGACTTGACAAATCATGCCTTCATCATGTTTATATTTTATTTTCAGGCTGAGTTAGAAAGAATTTTTTTTAAAGACGGGAGGTCTTTTGATCTCGAAGGTAAATGAGATTGTATATCACATAATACGTAAAACAGCTTTTATGTTGGTATATAGAACCATCTCATTGCAAAATAAGTGATAAGAGTTTTTGCTCATAGGCCTCAAGAACTGTAAGAGAAGAGGATATTCTTACATTGAAGGTGTTGAGGAATTACTTGGTGTGTTAAAGGCAAATGGCTATGAAATCCATGCTTTCACAAACTATCCTATATGGTGCGATCCATATAAATGTAGCTAATTTTTCAAACTCATTGTTATTGAAGTTCTTCACATTGTTTTCTTTTCTTCCCAGGTACACAATGATTGAAGAGAAATTGAAGCTTTCGAATTACTTATCTTGGACATTCTGCTCCTGTGTAATGGGTACCCTCTCTAATGATATTTCTAGTAAAAATGCTCTAGTCATAGTTTTTCTTTAATATAATTCAGATTGGGATGTGTTGTGGTCACTTTAATGTCCATCATGCACCTGGGTCAAACTATACTAAAAGGACCGGATCCAAAAGAATTGCCTGTTTTAAGCAAACGTCTTATAATCTTGTATATCTATAATCTATCTCTCTTTAATATTTCAATGTGGACATTAAAGTGACCGGAAACAATGTTTCTTCCTTCTTATACGTCAAAAATGGTGCGCGTTTTCTTAGTTATCTTTCATCTTTTGCTGTGCATAGGAAAGCGGAAGCCTGATTGTGATTTTTATTCGGATGTTCTGATACATCTAGACATTGAGCCAGCCAGCTGTATTTTTGTTGATGACAGGTGATATAAAAGATATACATATATATTGAATTTTAAACAAGAACTATTCATACATATACTAATTATGTTAACTTTGAAAACAAAAAAATGAATCCACCTTCTTTTTGTTTTTGAAATCTGGTTTATAGTTTTTGCTTAAAATAAAAACTTAAAACTGGCAACCACCCCCAATGGGCTCTTATTTCAAAAACCATTCTGATTTTAATTAATGTGAATATGTGTTATATATTCAACATGTCCCCAACTCCCCATCATCTTCTTCTTCTTCCTTGGGTTTGTTTGGTTCAGGGGTTCTTGAGGGGTGGGAAGGGGATTAGTGATATTTATTTATATTTAGAATAATAACTACATTTGGATGGTTGTCAATAAGGTTAAGATGAATAACTATATGTCTATATAGGAATACATGTCTATAATGACCAGTGCTTGTTTCGCTATTCATTGGTCTAACAGTTTAACGTAATTCTTTATTGTTAAATAATTTGAGAATCAGGCTTTAAAGCTTTATCATATTCAGTTTGGGGTTTTGTGCTTCAAAATACGTTTAGTGTAGTTCTCTAAATAATTAAGCATTTAACATTTAAATAATAATACTCATTTGACTCTTATGGGGAAGAATTATCTTATTATCGGTCAACCACAGTGAGCTATAACAACAAAGTCTATTGAGATGGAATAATTATTTCTAGTTTAATTTTAACAAATAGAGCTAATTTAGTAAAATTAAAAGCAAAACCTTCCATCCCCTTCCATCTGAAATCCCACAACCAAACAAGCCCTAAGAGTCCTAATTAATTGTACTAATTTTCTGAGGGAAAGAACCTATTGATTTTGTCTTGATCAACAAGCTCCCATTATACACACATTTACAGCTTTACAGTGGCATTTTTTCATGAAAAGGCTGTTGCTGTAATGTATCGTGGTATCTTTACCCAGACTAAGGAATGTTGAAGCAGCCATTGAAGCAGGTATTAAAGGCCTTCAGTTCAAGAATGCAGATGTTCTGCGCAAAGACCTATTACTTCTGGGTGTTGACATTCCAACAGGTGAAAGTAGTTAAGATCTGGCTCAGTGTTCTTAGGCCTGCCGCAATCCCTCGCCCGAAAACAGGGGCACATTGTATGCATATTCTTTTGCCACATCAACAAGAAAAGTGCATCTTCTTTTGAATGAGCTGTTTGGAGGTATGTAGAGAGAAGGTAAGAAGAGTTTGACGTCGAGCTGTTCATGTTTCTGCAAAACTCATCTTCAAAAAGAGAAAAAAATTGTATCTTGTTATATGTGACCATGCCACCAAATCCATGTAAATTGGGAAGAGTATGATGTATCTTCTGGCTGTAATTCTTTTTCTTCAATTTCTGAGGTAATCTGCATCACATGATATACTTTCACACATGGTTTAAAAAGGCGCGCACCTGAAAGTGACGTGTACGGAGAAGGTTCCCAGGCTTGAGCTTTTTTCCCAAGATATAAGAGGATATGCCTCAAAAGTCGGTGCACTACGACCTGAGGTGTGCCTTGAGGCATTTTTTAAGGCGATTTTTCTTTGTTTATATTTTTCAAAGGGTTTAATGCACCGAAGCCCTTGTCATATAAAAAATCGGTGCATTACATCTTGTGATTTAAAAAAGGTGTCAAACTTCTCTGTGTTATAAATTTATAATTAATCATGCGTAAAATCCCTTCAAGAATAAATTTAACCATTTGAATTTCATTTATCTCAATATTATGATTGAATATAGGGATGGACCCGGGCCGGTCCGGTTCTGGGCCGGGCTCGGGCGGGCTTTTTTTGCAAAATGTTGGGCCCGGAACCGGCCCGGGTTGATACCGGGTCTGGGCCTAACCGGCCCGGGCCTGGATCATGTTCAATTTTTTTTGGTTTCTAATTAACACCTGACCCCCTCCCCTCACCCCACCCCCCAAACCTCCCCCAAAACACCCAACCCTAACCTAGAAAAGCAAAAAAAATTGAAAAAACAAAAAAAAATTGAACCGGGCTTGGCCCGAACTGCCCGGGCCGGTTCACCAAAAATTGGGCCTGAGCCTGGCTCGCTCGACCCTCCTGAACGGGCTAAAAGCCCGGAACCGGCCAACCGGTCCCGGTCCGGTCCGGGCCCAAAGTCCCAAACAGTAACGGGTCGGGCCGATTCCGGGTCGGTTTAGTCCATCCCTAATTGAATATGGAAATAAATTTGTCAAGATTTCTAAATTATGCAAACATGAATCATTTTTCATTTATTTAACAATTAAATTTGTTCATAGAGAGGGGTTTACGCATCTATGGGTCATTCAAAAACAATCTCTCTGTGTTTTAGTACAGGGGTAAGACTGCGTACATTCGACCCTCTTTACCTCACCGTAGATGGGAGCCTTTGCGGCACTGGAGTAATGATGATGATGATGATGAGAGAGGTTTACGCATGATTAATTAAACCATAACTATATGGTAAAAGGAGTGGTTTCCAAGACATGTTTAATAAGGCTCATTGTAAACCAACACATCAATAAATATAATCTCACACGGTCACACCACTCATTCAGTCAATTCAATTTTTTCCTTCAACCCAAAACCGTCAATATGTTCACTCAGCACATATTTTTCTTAATTAAATGCATCTATCCTTACTTTTTTATTACATTTAATTTGTGTGATAATTTTATTTTTACCAAAAATTGTGATTTAAAAACTCAGACATTTCGATGTAAAAAAATATAAAATGTGAATTAATTTTTTGTAAGTATTAAAAATTCACATATATATAAGCATTATTTGCAGCCTTTTTATTTTATCATTTTTATATATATTCATCTTTTTTTATATTATCTTTTCATAATAGCTTATCTTTTTATCTTTATTCCTTCTTTTCCTTTTGGTTGTGATATCATGTATCGATTCATGTTAGCCGACCCCAATATTTTTTGGGGCTAAGGCTTGGATGTTGTTGTTGTTCTTGTTGTATTAAAAATTCACATATGATAGGGTACCTCCAGAAGTTCTTTGGTGGGCCTTAACTAGAAAAGACATATCACGCAAGTATATCAGCATCGTCATGGATATGTATGAGAATTGTACTACAAGTGTTCCTACTAGTGTAGGGACGATTGAAGATCAGCTCTGAGCTCTTTCTTATTTGCCATAGTCATGGATGAACTCACGAAGTCAATTCAAGACGATATACCGTGGTGCATGATGTTTGCCAACAAGATGCGGGAGTCGTACCTACGGTGGTTTGGTAATGTGCGTAGAAGACCGAGTGATGCACATGTCAGACAGGTTGAGATGTGTGGAGAAGAGGCAGGGAAGAGAGGAAGAGGAGGACCCAAACAGACGTGGGTTAGGGGAGTTCGAAGTGATATGCTTCTTCTTCTGGGGTTGGATGAATGCATGATTTTGGAGAGAGCTAAGTGGATGAGTGATCTCGTATCACCTTTTCCCCTCATCTTTTTTCCTTGTTTTTATCCTTATATATATAAGTATTATTTGTATCCTTTTTATTTTATCATTTTTATGTATATTCATCTCTTTTTATATTATCTTTTTATCATAGCTTATCTTTTTTATCTTGATTTTCTTTCTTTTCCTTTTGGTGGTGATATTATGTATCGATATGTTGGTCGACCCCAATATCTTCTCGGACTAAGGTTTGGATGTTGTTGTTTGTATAAAAATTCACATATTAATTCAATTTGAAATAAATTTCAATAAAATGCACAAATATATATAATATTACATTGTTTTCTATATTATTAATTTTTCATTCTTAATACTATATAATTTGTTGATTATTAAGATAATGAATTGAAACTATATTAGACATTTTTGCTACGTAGCATGTAAATATATCAAAGTGGGTACTAATATTATACTCCCACCGGTCCCAAATGAAATTCACACTTTGACTTCACACAGATTAAGAAAATAAATTTGACTTTACTGTAGAGTACACTGTTTGACACTGATTGACACTGTTTGAAACTGTTTGAAACTGTTTTGCACTTTTTTGATGTAGATAATTTGCCAAATAAGAAAGGAGAAGAAGTGTGAAGTTTATTTTGGACCTACCCCAAAAGGAAAGTGTGAATTTCATTTGGGACCAGAGGGAGTATTTCTAAAACTAAATAAATTAATCCCACGTAAGAGAGCAGAGGGATCCGTTGCTAAGAAGCATGTGGTACATCCGCGCAGACATAAGAGCCTTTCCTTTCCTCCTACGCATGACAGCAGCGTTGGGCAGGGCCGATCCTAAGACTTTTTTGGTCTGAGTCGAACGGTATAAAAAGCCCTTAAGCACCATAAAAAATAAACAAAAAATTTAAACACTTAATTATAATAGCAAAACTCAAAAGTCAAAAGAAATATAATCAAATAGCAATTTCCCTAAACTCTAGTATTCAATTAGCATTTAGCAACGATGATTTCAGAATTAAAGAACACAATGCAAAATATCTACAATTCTAACCTGGGAGGTTCTGGTCTACTGGAGTTCTGGGCTGACAGGGCTTCACAGGCGCACGGCTGGGAGGTTCTGGAGTTCTGAGCTGGCAGGGCTGCACTTCTACGGTTCTAGCGATGTTGGAAACTTGGAGTCTCAAAGCTGCGAACGTGCGAACGTTCGAAGTTGCAAACCAAAGCAAGAGGACGATGGTCGGTCGATTATTGTCGAAAGCTGCTAACCAAGGGCAATTCAAATTGCGCCTATTGTGCTATGAGTATATTTATAAAGGGAGCTAATATATTTATGGGTCCTATTTTTTTTTCCAAAAATTTTGGGCATGAGGCAGTTGCCTCTTTGCCTCTTATGTAGGTTCGGCCCTGCGTTCCGGGTAGAGGGGTCCGTTGCTTTCTCCTGCAGGGTGAATGGGCCGGCCACAGCTCCCTCCCATCGGTTCCTCCTATCGACTTTGAGACTTTCGTATACATTATTTGGTCTGGGTTGTAGCTGTTTTGGGTGAAAACCTCATATTTGAGGTTTTCGCCCCTCCATTGCAATCAGTCTAAGAGTGCTTCTCCCTCCCACTGAGAGAAGGTGGTGCTTCCATGTTCCAACCTGCAAGTTTCCTGTCAATTTATGTATAATATGGTTGAAGTACTCAGTTTTCATTCTACCCTTGTAGATGTTAGAACAAAGATAGATAGAAGGAAAATGACCATGCTCACTGTTGAAAAGAGTTTTGATGTTATTGCAGGTGCTAGGAGGAGCATGTTTATAGTTAATGAAATTTTTGTTGTTGTTTGTTAAGATCTGTTGTTCCATCCTAAAAGGTCAACCTGATAAGAGGAGTAGCCCACGTCTTAATATATCACTTCATTGACTCAAACATTTCCGGTGTGGGATTTTAACACCCCTCCTCACGACCAAACTCTTCGTCTAGATCGAGCCGTCATTCATTTTGTTTTTCATCAATTCGTTTGGATCGTGTCAATCATTTTTCATAAGGGGGCCCACACCATGGATCGATTTGGCTCTGATACCATGTTAAGATCTGAGGTTCCATTCTAAAAGGTCAATAAGCTGGCCAAGAACCTTCTCATAATTGTTTATGGTGTGCTTTAACTTATGGAAAATGATTTTAGTAGTGAAATATAATTGAATTAGTCATCTTCCAACTATTCCTGATTAGGAATTATTATCAGAATTGTATAAATAATTAGGAAATCATAATTATGATTCTAGATGATAATTGTGTGGTTCACAATTATCCTCTAATCCTAAGAAGATTAGTTTTTCTCCTATAAATATGAGTCTTCTCCATTGTGAACAAATAGAATAATGAAAGTAGGCCTCCTACAATTAGGATAATGAACACATCTTATTAATTAAAAGGCACGTACTATATGTATCTCATTTATGAAGGTAGGCCTCTAAATAATTTTCTTGCTGCATTTTAATTCAAAAACCAACCAATAATGTCTGCAACTTGAGCCCACATTAGACAATGCCAAAAATGGCACAAAATGTCACATGCCATATACATACAACTCTAGTTCACATTTATATACAACTGTAGTTCACATTCTCCTATTTTAGCTTTCTTGATTTTCACTTTAACACTTCTTACTTTTGAGATTTTAAACAAATTATTTTGATTTAGATTTTGGATGAGAAATTAAAACAAGGTTCCAAAATTGATTTGCTTATTCATTTATATCTAATATGTATTTGAAAATTTCACTTTTTGGATAGGAGTACGAGAATGCCACTTTTATGTCATCTTTTTATAGGATAATTGCATAATTTCCTATGAAAATATCACAACTATCAATGTGAAAATGTCATCTTTTTACAATAGAAAATGTCCACTTTTATGTGAAAATGTCATCTTTTTACAGTAGAAAATGTCATCTTTTATACGAAAATGTCATTTTATGTCAAACTGAGATTGCCATCTTTATAAGCATACTGCCATAAAAGTGACATTTTTTTCAAATAACCAATAAGTTTGACATTCTCAGATTCAAGAAGTGACATTTTCTGGGAATCTACATTCTGAGGTTCAAAATTGCTAAATAAATTAAAATTTAAATCCAGAAATATATTGAAATACAGAGGACCTAGAAGAAGATGAGAAAAGGAAGAAAAGAAGAAGAAGAAGAAAAGAAAAAGAGATAAGAAGGAAATTGAAAAAAAATTAAAATTCAAGAGACCTGGAAGAAGATGAGAAAAGGAGGAAGAAGAAGATGAGAAAAGAAGAAAAGAAGAGAAGAA